CATTTTGCTCTTCACCGATCCATCCAGTTTAGCCTATTTCAGGTAATTCAATTTTCGCAACTTATTGAGTAATGAACAATTGAGGTGAATTTAATTTAGCACTGAACAATTGAGAACTTGCTTATTTTAAGAACCTGTGAAATAGTATAATATGTGGTGCTTTTTGGCATATAACCAGTTGAAGTGCTTGATGGATTCAAATGAATAATGCAGTGTTTACTTTTGTTTATTCGAACTATTGAATTCGGGTATTTTTTTTTCTTTAACATTAAAACGCTCTTGAGCTACGTGAACAAATAGTCTACTCAGATTAATTATTAATTTGAAGTTCATTTTGTATATCCTTTGTCTTAAATTTATGAGATTAAGAAACCATGGTTCTGTGGTTAGATGAAACTGGAAGGAAAATGATCATTAAACAAAAGTAATACCAAATTTACTTTATGGCGTTGTTTTACTTGTTTGTGCTTTCATAACCGTCCGAAGTTTGATAATGGAACTTTGCAATCAGGATGAAAGTAATTGGGTTAAGATTACCACTCTTACAACTTTATTACTAAAAATTATCCGAAGAAAATTAAATCCTGCTCTTTGAAAATGGGGAAAAGAAATGGAATTATGTTTTTCACTAATATTTTTCTTTTGATTCGTAGGAGAAGGTGAAGAAGCCTTGGTACGTAATTTTATGATTATATATAGTTCTTTGTTCTTTATCTTTTCTTGCTCAAAGGATGTTTAAGAGTCTCTGCCTTTTTTAGCGTCGGTTTTCAAAATTTTACTGGTTTTTGGATGTTGATCAAATTTGTATCAGCCTATTAACATTTCTGTACTCTAAATTAAGTAGGAATTTCACAAAAATAGGGTGGCTAGATCATTTGGTTATCCTACTACTTACAGTCCACCAGAAGAATCTTCATTTTAAGTAATTGCTTCTTTAGCCATCCATCTATAAATGACAAGTGTTATCAATATGGTTTGATTCCTTACCGTATTAGTGTGATTTTGACTTTTGAATAATGAATACATATTAGTGTTACACTTTTAACTATAATCGTGATTTCGAATGAAATGTAATGATTTAGTAGAACATATTTGTATTACCTATTCCTTTATTTTCTCTTATTATTTTATCTCAATTTCGAAGATTTCTAATTTTCTACTTCAATTACCTATAAATAATTATTTAGCAATTATGTTTAGTGACTGATGAAATTTGATGTGCTTTTGAGGATAATTTTGAATTTATAGATTTAGTTGATTGTCTTTATAGCAAGTTCATATTTGCTACTTTTCCATTTCTCCTGGATAATTTCTGTGATATAGAATTTTTGATCATTTTCGTACAATATAAACCTTACATGATTTAAGTTTAGTTCAACAATGAAATATTTAATTTTATAAGTTTTCCATAATGTGTAATGAGAGTGTCCTTTATGATCAAAATTTTAGGTGGGATGATTGTCATATATTCAAATTCTATGAATCCTAGACTATAGCGAGAATTTTTAAGCCTAATGGTGGTACAAATGTTCGTTACGTCTTCTCAGTGTTTACTTTTGTTTCTTGTTTTCTTTCTATTACTAGATGCTTAAATTCTCAATCTGAGTTTTATTGCGAATTTATGGGAATCCAATAAATAAATAAGTTAAATTGTGATTGATGAGTAATTCTTTGTTGGCAGTAAGTTAAGGAAGTGAAGAGGAGAAAACTTTCCACAGTGGGGATAACTGGTCAGGCTGGGATAATGGAAAATCTGGTCACAAGGCTGCAAGTTATAATGGAAAATCAGAAAGCAAATGGACTGGGTAGTTTTCTTTAAGGTTAGCAATTTCAATTCCAATTCTTCTCATATTATGATCCATCTTTTTGGAGAACCCGTTTCAATGTGTGGTCTTTCCTTGGCAATAGGGTTCCATCCCTGTTTGCGCTGCTTATGATTATTGGTCGATAATTATTTCAACTGATTATTGGCAATTTATTGAAATTATTTGGTCAGAGTTTTAGTGCATTTGGTAAAATCATATGTGCGTCAATGCTAGACCTACTTGCTAATAAGTAAGTTTGATAATTGATTATTGATGAAATCATGGCAAATACGTCGGTGAATAACCAATAATCAAGTAAAAAATTTCACTTTTATTTCTCAGATGTTTGTTTTATCAAATTGGACAAAGCTGATTTTGTTCCAGTTTCACTAATGTGTATATTTTAGGGTGCTGACATTCAAATAGTGCGTGATGACTGCAGTTTTCACAGTAATGTCTGGAACAATTTCAAGTAGATGATTTATAGACTTCTTTTTCCTCTTCATTTTCTTTTCTGATATTGTAACTTTTCCAAGTGAATGATAATGAAATTTTAATCGAGCATTAATAAAGAAACATATAAAAGAATGCCCAAAATATATAGCCCAATTTCTTTTTTCCGTTTTCAGTTTTTAGATTAAAAAGTATCCCAAGATAACCATTACCAATATATACACTTGACGTCCAGTCGTGCAATGCATGTCCGACACTAGTTATCTTAAACAACACTATTCGAAACTTTGTTTTCCAAAATTAATGGTTGTCAAACATGGACTTAACTATACAGCATAGGGTCGAATTGTTATCATATTTTTCTTTTGCTTCACTTTTTAACTATTCTATCGGGTTTTTAACCATTGCTCATTATTTCACGTTTTTATATTTTCTTCACATTCTTATTCTCGAAATTTCATTACTTAAACATATCTTGTCTCGGATAACGATTTTCGTCCATTAACATGACACAGAAGACTTATTTCCCTCTCATATTTATAGATAGATGAATGTATTCACACCAATTATAATTAACTACACCATGTTATAATTGATCGTTGTATTTTTAAATAAGAAAAATAAACACAAATATATAATCTCTACAAAATAATTCTCCATGTTAACATAATATTTGGACGAAAATAGTGATAAATGACCAGATATTTTTAATTGATTGAAGTTCAAAAATAAAAATGTGATGGAAAAAAGTGGAGATATTACAACAAAATTGAGAACTTTCATTGCAATCAATGTGGTACAATTAACAAAAATTGTAGTGTGAATTCAATTAAAAACTGTGGTGACAATATAACAACTTCAACCATTCATTTTTTACCTGGTGTATTCAAGAAAACTACTATATCCTTGAGTGTAACAAAATTATGAACATAAAAAGAACAATATTTTCACCTACCAAATCTTTGAAGAAAGAACAAAATGAACTTTCAAATAATTCAATTCAATACAGACCACAGGAAATACACATGCAGCATCAGATGTAAAGAAGCTTGCAATATTTAATGCAATGTGAAGACAAACTGAATCTTAAGGTGAGAGTAGATTAGAAGCACAGTTTGTAACCAAAGCCCTCAAACTGCATTTTTCTTAGGTCCCAAGGTCGAATTCAAAAGACCTCCATCAAAAGCAACTAAAAGAGAATTAGGCTGCCAAAACAAGAACCAGATATCCAAGCTGCAAAAGGCCAATCATGTGAATGTGATTGCTTGATAGGATCATAAGATCATTTGGAACCTTAGAAATCCCACCCAATCTGATATTGGGAAATTGTACAAACAATGAAGAACACATGACAAAATAAGTTGTTATATAGATAGTCACAAGAATGTTTGACTAAGGCCTTATTTGAGCCACATTATTTTTCTCATTCTCATTCTTCTACTTATTTTCAACCACACATTCTTCAATAAAATAATATTTTTCATCACATCAATAACTTTTCCTTCTTTTTCAACCACATATTCCACATCACATCAACAGTAAAAATGAATTCTTACTCCCAAAATGTGCACCAAACATGGAAGAAAAACTATAATTACTTTAAGTAANCCACATCACATCAACAGTAAAAATGAATTCTTACTCCCAAAATGTGCACCAAACATGGAAGAAAAACTATAATTACTTTAAGTAAACAATTAGTTTTTTATTACTGTCTCATGGGAACAAATTTGGCGTGTCCCTAGAGTTTTCTTTTGAGTGGCAACTGAAAAAGAATACTGGACTAGACACACACTAGGTAAAATCAGTTTATATGCCAACCATAAATCTACAACCTGACCTGACCAGGCCAAGACAAGCAGCTGTTTGTACACTCAACGTTGTCTGGATCTGCACACTCCCAATTACTCACTAGCATAACTTTCTTAATCCAACAAAATGCAGTTTCTGGTCGACCATCTTCAGGTGTCGGTGGCATGAGTTTTTATAACCCCACCAATTGAGCTTCATAAACTTTTCACGGGCCAGATGTGTAACATCGAACACCTATAACTATATGTCTAGAAGCCATACATTTTCCTTCATTTTGGATATCACTCTTTTATCAGAGGCAGTGATTTTCAATTAAGGTTGACACATTCTCTGTGATCAGATACTTCGTGACAGATCTCTGGTTTTACCTTTATCTTGACTGGATTTCCGAGCTTTGATTTATCTTCCATGTTCGCAATCTCAAGAGCCCTCGAACAAACAGGAAACCCTTGGTCATCCCATGACTCCAAGATCACACCAGACCCAATGCACATCCTATCCTGGTAGAAGGCGGCAAACTGCCCAGCTGCCAGACCTTGATCATCTTCAGATAGTTTGACAACTGCAATTTCATGGCCATCTCCATCAACTTCCATTGCCAAACTGCAATCATAAAAACCCGGGCCATGTCGAACCTGAAATACGCAAGAAATTCAGTAACCATGTTGCATTAACAACTTGAAGTTCTGCTCTCGAGCATCATAACAAAAAAGGTGTTTACAAGCATTTAGCAATCTCGACATGGACCTTGAGTGCAACAAATCATCAATTGATATATTATTACACCATGACAAAATTCTCTAACTAGAAAAGACTTCCATTCACATAAGTGGAGATAAATAACAATCAATTCTAAAAACCCAAGAAAGAGAGTCAACAGAGCAACTACAACCAATGGGCCCTCTTCGAAAATAGCAGAAGAAGATGAATCTGGCCAAGAATAATACTTTTTCAGTTAGAGAAATACGAAATATTTTCTGAAGTGTAAGAGATGGTTTCTCTATGCAAGGGAAATGACAGCATTGTGGTCTGAGATAAACCAGACAGTGAATGTACCAAGGATTGAACTTAATACCTTGCATTGAAGTTGATTTATCTGGTTTGGAGGTGACCCACTAAGCCATTTTAAGGATCCAACACGGAATAAACGCCTTCTTTTGTCAACTGAGAAATAGTTTCTTGATACAAAGACTACATTGTTTTTAACATCTTTCTCCACAACATACCTGCATAAAATACATTTCAGGTAAATATTTGGAAATCTTCAAAGACTAGAAAGCCTATCTAAGAACAGAAAGTACGAAATTTTTAGATAGACTTGAAAAATGGAAGATATTGATACAAACTTGATAAATATGACGGTCAGCACCACGGCATGACAATTTAAAGATATGGACCAAAATTTTTTTATTACAGCTTTAATGTACGAAAAATAGGATTTAACGTGATTTGGGTCAAAAAGCCATGAGCAGTTTATTTTATTTTTTCCTTGCGTGACTCAAACAGATGTCATTGCCAAGGGGGCATTGCATAAAGACGATAAGATGAGCTAAAATACTCGTGATACATGCTGGTAAGATATCATGGGAGAGTCGTACCAAGGACCCCCAGGAAGACGTAATCCTTGACGTTGGCCAATTGTATAAAACCAAAAACCTCGATGTTTTCCGAGAAAATCTCCAGTCTCAGCTTCCAAAATTATACCTTCTGCCTCCCCAATGTGTCTTGCAACAAATTCGCTAAACTTTATCTGCAACCCATATGTACATTCAAATTTAGATCACACAAATTTAGAATAAACCCCTCCTGAAAAACCAGGATCGAAATTACTCTTTCAGAATAAATGCAATTTTTTAAGAACATGAATGCTGAAATTAGACCGAAATTTGAGCTACAATTAGTCAATTATTTACTTCAAGTAAATCAAAAGTTACAGTAAGTATATATATATATATCTGATGGCAAACTATACCTTGCCCAGAAAGCATATTCCTTGAGAATCCTTTCTGTCTTGGTTTGGTAAATCAAATATTTGGGCCAGCCTGCGGACTTCTTCCTGCATGTGTGCAGAGGGAAATTTTTAAGAATGAAGGATTCATGCAAATTAACTGTAATGTGTCACAGTCGCAAAGATATAGCTTTTCAAAAATTGTAAATTTTCTATGAAAAAGGCTAAAAAGAAAAAATAGAAGCACGTCAACAAGTGTACAGAAATCAATGAATATTCCCACCTAACCTTCGGAATGCATCCAAGAGGGAAGATAAGCCGTTTAAGCTGGGATTGTGAGAGATGAGAAAGGAAGTATGTTTGATCCTTAACCTGAAACAAGAAAAGTGCAGATACAAGAGCACACATGCATCATTAAGAAAATCAAAGCAAGAATCCTATGGCTGCAACGCATAGACAGATAGGTATGTACTACTATCACATACGTACTGTATCTTTTGACAGTTCCAAAATAGAAAGCTCATCTTTTTGATCCCCATCCCCGTGAACAACCCTTGCGTAATGTCCAGAGGCAACGAAGTCAAACTTTATACCACCTAAGGCATCCATAAATGCACCTATAGTGGGATGGAAAAAAATATTAAGGAGAAAAAAGACAATTAACCTTCTATGATTTAAATAATACACCTGAAGAGAACATCTTTCTTATGATTTAAATCACAGACCAAACTTTATTCTTGTATTGCAAAGGACATCAGGATTTGGGGTTCGGCCATGTCGATACTCATCAATGATATATGACACCTGAAACGTAGACCAAATAATACCTGTCTGCTTAGAAAACAATATTATCCTTTCAAAAGGCAGTGAGGAGGGGTGCAAGTGGTGGTGTTGTAAGTAAAATCAAATAAAATGTAAAAGAACAAAAGTGAATTTGATTAGTTGAAGTAGGTAGGGAACAACAATGAATGACCTGTCTTCTAAGAATCAGCACATAACCGCAGTTTAGGTGGCGAGTAAATGGCTACAATTATGAAAATATCAAGAAAATAAGGGTTTTGAAAACTTAAAGCAGTAGTAATTACCCCGCACCAACAATGGCAGACCCAAGAATTTCGATATGCACAGGCCAAGTAATTGTAACAAAGAGTAGAATTAACTGCCAAAATATAGAAAGAGTTCTACAAAAATAGCATATCTAGCACAAATTATCTTAACTCAAGAAAGTGCGAAAACGTGAGAATGTAGAGAATTAAAACATGTTGATTTCACAGCATTTAAGGAAGATGCATAAGCGAGATTTGGAAGGGGAAAAAAAAAGAAACATACCACATTAGTCCAGTATTCATGTGTCAAATGCACAACTTCCAAAGGGACATTAACCTGAAATAAGATGCATCTTAAACTAACATCTGACTAGGTTAAACAACCATAATTTTTTCCTAATGAAATACAGATCTTTTAGTTGAGATGCATCTCACCAAGATATGGTAGATTGTTTCTTAGTGCATTGACAACAAAGAACTAACCTCAACATTCATTTTGACATAGAATAAATATTGAACTTATTCAATTACATTAGGCATAAACCATTGCATTCCTATAGTCCAGTCACTGGGATTTTAAAATAAATATTGTCATGAAAAGACCATACTCATAGGTCATTTAGTATCTTTGACAATTGCTAAGTTGGTTGTGTCTTTATATCTTAATTATGGAAGAAAATTATTGGGTAGTAGTTCAGTATTTCAAAATTATGATTGATGGGAGGGGACGGTCGAAATATTGATCATGCAATCTTTCCTTACTATTCGAAGGAAATTTAGCCCAAATAGAAATTTCAAGGGAGATTCTCACATCATTTTAGGTTGAGCTCAAAAGAAAAGAAAATGCAGAATATAAGAAGGAGAACGCAAAACCTGATCACAAACAGCTTTTGCATATCTCATATCTTCTTCCCATGGGCATTCAGACCAAAAATTCTCAAAGTCTTCCTATAAAAGATAATTATATCTATTCAATTAGAGCTTACATGATGGTATACCAAATACATGAATTTAGTCGAAGAAGGAAAATAAGTATAAATAAGATGAACTTGCGTTAGAAATACCTGTAGAATCAGCAATCTGAAACAATTCAATAATCAAACCTCCCAGAACCCCAGTTAGCTTTTGAATAACAACCATGACACTAAAGAGCCTACTAGGCTAGCTTAAAAATTAAAAAGGAGAAGAAGATGGACCTGACAAGATATATAAAGCAGCTACATGTTTGGATAGAGGTGTTGTTAAAAAATAAATTGTTGCTACATCCAGCGAAAAAGGTGATGAACACTTTTCATGCTGTCAAACTGACCAAATGGGCGTGACATCACGTAAACATATATTTGACATCACTTTTTGCATCTAAAGTTGATTAAGCCCCTGTTTAAGCCACATTAAAATTTTCATTCTCATTTTCTACTCATTTTCAACCACACATTCTTCAATAAAATAATAATTTTCATCACGTCAATAATTTTTCCTTCTTTTTCAAACACACATTCTCCATCAATCTATTAGTCCAAATACATTCTTCCAAAATAATGTGACTCAAACACACCCTAAGAAAATATTATACTTTGCACTGTAAGTTTAGCTTCAAACTAGCTGAAGTATTTTAGGGCGTGTTCGGTAGAGATTAAAATTGAAAAACTAGCCGTTATTGTTGACTTTTATTAGACGGGTGAGACCCTATAACGGCTATATTTTCAATTTTAATTGGATTTTAAGCACGATCGAACACGCCCTTAATATTTGTATAAATTAAATCTACACAGGCGAAACATGAAATCAATTGTTAAAGATAATTTTGTAATAGGTAGAGGATTCAATTCTTAATAATAGTTCACAGAAATAACAACCAAATAATAGATGAATAGATTTATATGGAACATATTTTAGTTGAGAAAGTTTCTTCATGAGGCTAAGTTAAATGCAAATATCAGCTTTATATTCAACCTAATAGCATAATGTTAGACTTTAAGATTGTGTTTTGTGCACTGTTTTTGACCATATAAAGAATTTAACATAAAACTAGAATAGATAAATGATAATAGTTGGTGGATGTTATTATGGTAGATTAAAGTGGATAATATTCTTTAATCCTGTAGTAAAAAGATGTTACTTTCACTGTCAACTGTATATCACGATTGGAGGATGGAGATGGTTTTAGATAGGATAAGATAACTATTCTAAATGTCAGGTTTTTTTTTACAAAAAGATCAAAGAATATTATCCTCCTCAATCCACAATATACCTTTACAAATCACTATCTATTCTAATTTTGTACTAAATTTCAACATTGCACCAAATGTGACAGTAGTAATAATTATCACCTAATTTGTAAATTTAAAGGAATGTTTTATTATAGAATATACAATTCTCAAGCTCTCAAGAATTTGTTTGATGCTGGAATCTTATTGCATTCTTAGCTCACATCATTTTGTGGTGCATAGAACTTTTTTTGCTCAAGCAGAATGAAGATTCACAATAACAAGAGAAACTTGATACCTAATTCAATGACAGGGCAAGCCAAAAAAAGTAAAAATAAATCAGAACTGTTAACAAAAGTTGAACTCCAAAGAATTCTCGAGACTTTAATCCCTAGAGTTAACAAGCCCTTAAAAACAAATTAAAGTTATGCTATGTTTGGCAGCGTAAAATTCAGGGCCCTTAAAGATAATTAGTGAAAAATCATGGCTAATCTCAGTTCCACGACAGGCAATCTTATCTAATTACGTAAATAAACACAAACAAATCAGTTCACTGATGCACGTAAGAAAAAATTACATACTTGGAACCAGATTTTAAGATAGAAAGCAGTGCAGGAATGGCCGGCGGCGTGGAGGAGGCGGAGGGCAACGCTACTATCAACACCGCCGCTGACAAGAACAGCCACGTTGAGAGGCTTCTTATTAGGCAGGCAGCATGAGAGGTATTTTGGGTCAATAGTTTTGGGGTTGGAGGAGAGAGAAGATAACGGTCTGAGAGTACAAAAGAGTTGTGGGGTTTTGGGTTTGGAGAGAGAAAATAGGGTTTTGATAGTGGTGAAAGGAGTCTTGGGGAGAAGAGGAGTGAGAGGGAAGTGAGAGAGAGCTGCCATTGTTGTTCTTAGCATTTCTGTATGAACATTGAGATTTTAGATGAGGAGATAGAAATATATGTAAATAAGTAAATTTTAAAATAATTATTTTTTTCATTTGATTATTTATTATAAGTAACTTTCAACGTCATGACTACAATCCCCCTCTCCTATAAGAGAAGCCAATTTTCCCGCCAATTTCACTTCATTCAACGCTCTTCTCGCCCCTCTCGTTTTCCCCTTCGGA